ACAAAGGATCATGAGAGATTACTACAAGCAACTATATGCCAACAAAATGGACAACCAGTAAGAAATGGACAAATTCTTAGAAAACCACAACCTTCTGAGCCTGGACGAGGAAGAAATAGAAAATATAAACAGACCAATCACAAGCACTAAAATTGAAACTGTGATTAAAAATCTTCCAACAAAAGCCCAGGACCAGAGGGCTTCACAGGCAAATTCTATCAAACGTTTAGAGAAGAGCTAACACCTACCCTCAACAAAATACTAGCAAACAGAATCCAACAGCACATTAAAAGGATCATACACCATGATCAAGTGGGGTTTATCCCAGGAATGCAAGGATTCTTCAGTATATGCAAGTCAATCAATGTGATACTCCATATTAACAAACTGAAGGATAAAAACCATATGATCATCTCAATAAATGCAGAAAAAGCTTTCAACAAAATTCAACACCCATTTATGATAACCCTCTGGATAGTAGGCATAGAGGGAACTTACCTCAACATAATAAAGGCCATATATGACAAACCTACAGCCAACATCGTTCTCAATGGTGAAAAGCTGAAACTGTTTCCTCTAAGATCAGGAACAAGACAAGGTTGTCCACTCTCACCACTGTTATTCAACATAGTTTTGGTAGTTTTAGCCCCAGCAATCAGAGAAGAAAAAGTAATAAAAGGAATCCAAATAGAAAAAGAAGAAGTAAAGCTGTCACTGTTTGCAGATGACATGATACTATACATAGAAATCCAAAAGATGCTACCAGAAAACTACTAGAGCTAATCAATGAATTTGGTAAAGTAGCAGGATACAAAATTAATGCACAGAAATCTCTTGCATTCCTACACACTAATGATGAAAAATCTGAAAGAGAAATTAAGGAAACAATCCCATTTACCATTGCAACAAAAAGAATAAAATATCTCAGAATAAACCTACCTAAGGAGCCAAAGACCTGTGCAGAAAACTATAAGACACTGATGAAAGAAATTAAAGATGATACAAACAGTTGGAGAGATATACCATGTTCTTAGATTGGAAGAATCAACACTGTGAAAATGACTGTACTACCCAAAGCAATCTACAGATTCAGTGCAATCCCTATTAAACTACCAATGGCATTTTTCACAAAACTAGAACAAAAAATTTCACAATTTGTATGGTAACACAAAAGACCGTGAATAGCCAAAGCAATCTTGAGAAAGAAAAATGGAGCTGGTTGAATCAGGCTCCCTGACTTCAGACTATACTACAAAGCTACAGTAACCAAGACAATATGGTACTGGCACAAATCAGAAATATAGATCAATGGAACAGGATAGAAAGCCCAGAGATAAGCCCATGCACATATGGTCACCTTATTTTTGATGAAGGTGGCAAGAATATACAGTGGAGAAAGGACAGCCTCTTCAATAAGTGGTGCTGGGAAAACTGGACAGCTACATGTAAAAGAATGAAATTAGAACACTCCCTCTTACCATACATGAAAATAAACTGAAAATGGATTACACACCTAAATATAAGGCCAGACACTATCAAACTCTTAGAGGAAAACATAGGCAGAACACTCTATGACATAAATCACAGCAAGATCCTTTTTGACCCACCTCCTAGAGAAATGGAAATAAAAACAAAAATAAACAAATGGGACCTAATGGAAATTAAAACTTTTGTACAGCAAAGGAAACCATAAACAAGACAAAAAGACAACTCTCAAAATGGAAGAAAATATTTGCAAATGAAGCAACTGACAAAGGATTAATCTCCAAAATTTGCAAGCAGCTCATGCAGCTCAATATCAAAAAAACAACCCAAACCAAAAATGGGCAGAAGACATAAATAGACATTTCTCTAAAGAAGATAGACAGATAGCCAACAAACATGTGAAAGGATGCTCAACATCACTAGTCATTAGAGAAATGCAAATCAAAACTAAAATGGGGTATCACCTCACACCAGTCAGAATGGCCATCATCAAAAAATCTACAAACAATAAATGCTGGAGAGGGTGTGGAGTTAAGGGAACCCTCTTGCACTATTGGTGGGAATGTAAACTTATCCAGCCACTATGGAGAACAGTATGGAGGTTCCTTTTAAAACTAAAAATAGAACTACCATACGACCCAGCAATCCCACTACTGGGCATATACCCTGCAAAAACCATAATTCAAAAAGAGTCATGTACCACAATATTCATTGCAGCACTATTTACAATAGCCAGGACATGGACACAACCTAAGTGTCCATCAACAGATGGATGGATAAAGAAGATGTGGCATATATATACAATGGAATATTACTCAGCCATAAAAAGAAATGAATTTGAGTTATTTGTAGTGAGGTGGATGGACCTAGAGTCTGTCATTGACAGTGAAGTAAGTCAGAAACAGAAAAATACCATATGCTAACACACATATATGGAATCTAAAAAGAAAAATAAATGGTTCTGAAGAACCTCAGGGCAGGACAGGAATAAAGATGCAGATATAGAAAATGGACTTGAGGACACGGGGAGGGGAAAGGGTAAACTGGGTAAAAGTGAGAGAGTGGCATTGACATATATACACTACCAAATGTCAAATAGCTAGTGGGAAGCAGCCACATAGCACAGGGTGGTGCTTTGTGACCACCTAGAGGGGTGGGATAGGGAGGATGGGAAGGAGATGCAAGAGGGAGGGGATATGGGGATATATGTATACGTATTGCTGATTCACTTTGTTATACAGAACCGAACACCATTGTAAGGCAATTATACTCCATTAAAGATGTTAAAAAAAAAAAACAAGTACGTTTTCTTGGCAAACCATTCTATGTTAGAGGATGAGTGGAAGCATATGTGGGCCTGAAGGTACATCACCTTTATTGAAAGTAGCCGCTCTGCTGGATGCATATAGAAGTGGAATAAAGAGTAGCCTGGGGGTGGGCAATACAGGGGTGGGAAGTTGAGATACAAACTATTATGTGTAAAATAAGCTACAAGGATATATTGTACAACACAGGGAATATAGCCAATATAATAACTATAAATGGAATATAACCTTCAAAAAGTGTGAATCCCTATATTGGACACCTGTAACTTACATAATATTGTATATCAGCTATATATCAATTTAAAATATTAAAGTTTAAAATAAAGAGTAGCCTGACAACAGTGTTGAAATAGGCATGAAGGTTTAATGAACTATGGCATATTAAGATATGCATTAAGAACTCAAATCAGAGAGACCAATTAATAGATATTCTCTAAAAACTGTTTTAAGGTGATCATAGAAATGGTCAAGGCTAATAATCATCTGATACCCACAAGTTAGTCACAGTGGCCTGAATCTATTCTAATAGAGCAGTGGTATATTCTGATTGACCAGTAACCACTCATACTCGTCATTAAATATTTTTAATGTCACTCTGGTTCATAGTAAACTTTTACATAAACTTTTGGTTTTCTTTAGCCATGTGTCACCTGCGTGTAAAGTTGAACTATGAGAGGTACAGGATCTCTTTTGTCTTATTCATGCCCAAGTATATGGCAGTGGGATAGTAGTGTAAATGAAGCCACATGATAAAGCTTACACATTTTTCTGATGCATCACTTTTTCTCACTGCTGTGAATTTTATATTAAAGCAAACATAAATATATTGTGGAATAAAATGCAAAAATCACATGTGTTTTAAGAGAATGGTTTTCAAGAAAATTTGTGTCCTTGGTGGGCTACCTTTGCATTATTCCTTAGACTCATTCTCTATCTCTACTAGTATTGGTATTTCAGTAGAAAATTGTGAGAGGCACTGATTTAGGATATTTGTGGATACAGAATTGCTTTTACTATAGCTGGTCCCATAGTCCATCTCTATGTTATTTGTCACTTTAGAGAATCAGAAGGGCAAACTCTGAGAGATGGAAACTAATAATTTATCTCCAGCATCCCTCCTCTTCTGTCATTAAGTTGAATTTTAGCCAACTCAGAGGCTGATAATTTATATTATAGAATTTTTTATGTAAAAATGTTTTAGTTCACTAATTGCATTGAAAGTATATTTTTTATTACTTCTTTTGTTAACATTTTATATTCTTCTGTTTAATTTTTTCCTTCCTAATTCTTGGAAACCAATGTATTTAACCAGTTTTCTCTTTCAAAGAACATTTAGAAAAGGTTACTCTGTTTATCTGGCTGTTTTGCACAGTGCTTTCCATTTGTAAGTAAAGAGGTGCATTTAAAAGTTGGAGTCAGAATTAGAAATTTCATCATTTTTTTCCTACTTTTGAGTCAAATATGACAGTGTAGACTATTATATATGAAGTGAAGTGCCAAAACATGTCACATTTGCATGCAAATGTAAAGGTTATATCTCAACAGGAATAATTTTTTTAAAAGACCACTAACTAATAATCCTAATCATCCAAGAGTAGGAAGTACATGCTGAATGACCTAGACTCTTGTGGCAGCTCTGAACCTAACCAGCTATGTGATTTGGGATCTGTTACAATCTCAATTTCCTGGTCTACAAATGAATAGTAAGGACTAAGGCCACTTGCAGTGTTTAGATTCTTGAATTCTAAGTGTATGTAACTAGTGCAGATTTTATTTTCTAAAATTTTCACGTTAAGTGTAAAAAAAACAAAAGGGGGGAGGGAGGATAAAGAATTATAAGTAAGTGTTTCTAGAAACACTACTGGATTGGACTTACTGCTAAATGTTGGTTAATTCAGCGTTGCTTTGTAATTTGTTCATAACTATAACTCTATAGTCAGAGTATTTGTTCCTAATATAGCTCATATCTTATATACATACACACTGTTTCTGTTTAAATTTCCATATAATCATGTTTCACCCTAACTTTTAAAAATAAAGTATGGTTAGTCTCATTATGAATTTTCTTTGATACTCAAACATTGAGTGAATTCATATAAAAAATTGATTATGGACAGACACTCTGCTAGACACTAAGGAAACTAATATGAAAAACATAGATCCTCAAAAACAAACAAACAAACAAACACATAGGTCCTCTTCTGCTCTCAGTATGTTCACAAGACACCAGTAACAGAAGCCTGATCTAGGAACCTAGGCTAGCAAGGCCCTTGACTCATACAACAGTTAAGAATATCATTCATGGCATTTCCCCAGAGTATATCTGAGGAAGGGCAATTTTTTCTAGCTTCCTGCAGCCTCATCATGTAGGTTGAGTCACAAGGAAATCAAATGAACCTATTTCTGTTAACATAGCCTTTTCATGTAACTCTCTCTTATAAATGTATTATCAGTTAATATTTGTATAAAATAAAGGGACTTAAAAGACAAATATTTTGAAATTAAAACCACCCTTATTAGCATACCACCAATTTAATTTCAATAAATGTTGGCCTTCTACTGATGAACATTAAAGTGCTAACAAGATCTGCCAATGCCAGAATTATGAAGTAGAAATTTATCTTTTCAATAAGTCCGTTATCTGTAGCCTGACCTCAAGCCTTCATTGCTATTCAGGGCCTCGGATCCCTAAGTATAGACTCTACTTTGGGCATTGTGCTCTTGCTATTGAACAGGAAAACAACTTTCAATGCTGCCATATTTTGAATGGCAGAGATTTCTAGAGATTAGAAAAACTACTAACTTTAAATATGCATATTTTTAAAATGTTGTACTATTCTACTCATGAACTCAAATATAGTTTAACTTTAAAATCATGTAAGTTCTTTTATCTACAGTGATTTTACTTATAAGATCCAATTTAGTTGACAAGAGTATGTGGCAAAACATATTTCACATTTTTGTATTGTTCCCTGTGAGACATCTATTGTAAGAATTGCTGCAAGCTGTCATTTTTGTCTGCTGTCCAGGATTTGCTGGCCTGAGTGCTGTGTACTAGACTTGGTGTTGCTCAGGACGGGGAGGGGGAACTTGCAATTGAGCCAGACGGTTTTGTTATTGCTTTAGAATTAAAAGCATATGAAACAGATACAGCATATTAACGTTTTTTTTTATAAATAACATAAACTTAAATAACAAAACAGTAAAGTTCAAATACAACTTAAAATAGAGTTTAATGCGGTAACCACAGGATAAAAGCATGATTATTTGTGGGAAGAACATTATTAAAAGCCATATTCCCGAATATGAATTATACAAAAGATAGATTATGTTACTTGAAAAAAACATAAAAGATTTTTGAATTTTACTTTTAGGGATTATAAAATGTTATTTTGTGGTGAGTGAGATGAAGTACAGTATTATCATTATCGCTATTTTATATACAAGATTTTTGAAAACATCCTTTAAACAATACCCTTTCAGTTGGGAGCAGCATTAGGAATTTTGTTCTTGTTAATAGGTACAAGCATGTTCTAATCTTATACTCTTGTAAAACTACCTCTTTGATTCATTTCCATAATAGAATTTTTGAGAATATTCCTTCTTTTCTGATTAGAATTTAAGTGGTTCATAATTTTTCACTAGAAAGCATTCAGATACTGCTCATCTTCCATAGTTAGTGTTGGCTTGATTATCTGACAAATCATTCCAGCAGCTTTTAGGTCTGACACATCTTATATAACATCATCTGCATTATTATTATTATAGCAGCCATTTTATAAGCAGATAGGAATATTTAAATAATCATTATCAGATAATCAAATCTAACAGTCTTAAGGGTAAATTAATTTAAGAAAAAACATTACTATTACTGACATCATGATTGTACAACCAGTTTTACAATTTTTTACAACTTTTAGTTACTAAATCTGATTTTTGTGTATATTTTTTCAAATCTTTCTTTAATGCAGTCTCTTAAAATAAACATAAATGCGCAAGTCCAGCTTGATCAGTTTTTCAGTAGTTTTCCAGCCTTTCTTGGTTACTTAAAAAAAAAAAAAAAGAAAAGAAAAAAGGAAGAAAACAGTCCACTTAAAGAAATCTCCCTGCTGGAACTGGTTTCTTATATGCCATATATGATTAGGTTATTGCCATAGGAAGAAAGTGGGCTGTTTTTTGTTCTTTCTTCGTTTTTTTCCCTCTTACAGGAACCCCCTTTTGATTTAAGGCAACAAACATTTCTCCTCCACTGTGTGTCCATTTAGCTGATGCATATGTGTTGTAGTGGTTTTCCAGAATTAATTCTTTGAAGTTACAATCTTCATTGCATTCTTTCTGCAAAGAACAACAAACAAACAACATTATCCAAATGATTTTTGGAGGGACTCAGACAAAGAATAAGCAGTAATATTTAGTAGAATTAAAACATACATGACTTTTTTTGAGCAGGCATAATGCAGTTTGTTATATATACTTAGCATATTTGAAAAAAGATTAAATTTTTTAAAAGATAAAATGATACACATTTAGTTATGCAACATAGTTTCAAACATGTAGCTTTTTGGCAGTCAGTTGCTACTATTCTTAAGTATTAAGAGCTATTTCCCACTAATTAGCTCTCATATTACTATGCCCAAGTCACTCTTTCTCTAACACTGACATTTTGATACAATTAGCAGAGCCTCTGCCTCCCTCAGCTGAAGGACATATTTCACAACTTTTCTTCATTTACTATTACACTGCCTGTGATAGTGATGGAAAATAAAAAGTTAATTTGTTCATCCAACTATTCATTCATTCACTTAAACCTGTATTTTTATGTAGTCTGTGCCAGGAATACAAAGGAAAGTCAATTATACTTTGTTATAGTGGGATGAACTGTTGCATATTTCATGTTATAATAAAGTGGGAACAATGGGAATGCTTACAGTTCAAAGCCCATGATTGTGAGATTGATGTTGATAAACAAACGTCTGGATTTTTTTTCCCCAAGAATTTTCATGTCAGCAAAGTGCAAATTGGGTGAACTTTAACAAAAAGAGCTTTAATACTGACAGATGGACATTTTAGATTTTAAGAATCTAAAGTACAAATGGAATTTTAGAGCTGGAAGGATCCTTAGAGGTCAGTTAATCCAACTTGTATTACAGATGAAGAAACCAAAGTCCAGAGAACTTAAGCAAATTGTCCAAGATCACACAGAAAATTTAATTCTTAAGTATAAAATGTTTTAATGAAATCATTGAATTATGTAGTTTGAGAGGAGTTAATTTCATTTTTACTTTTCAGAAAGGGAAGATATTTTTGACAAAAATAAGTTTGAGAAATTAAGTCTAAGCTATCAATTATCAATACCTTTGCATAGAGTTTTCCTTCCTTGTTCATTGCAAGATAATATTCACTTTCCACTCCTTTGATTGCTACAATTCCAACGGCCACTGTCCTAATTTCCATGATGTCTGCAAGGTATCACAGAAAGATATGTCAGTTATTCACCCAGCTTTGCAGATTATCCAAGAATGACCATTTGTCCTTATTTCTGTTTCACTTGGAAGTTAAGGTTATTAACATGATTATTTACTCAGCCTGAGACCCCCATCCACCCATAACATGTACACACAAACACCAGATTAGTCCTTATTAAATGTGGGAAGTGCAAAACTATTGATTTTTTATTTTGTAGAAAAAGATATTTGGATTCAAAAAGAAGAGTTACATATTTGAATTTCACTTTTTCTTCTCTAGAATTACATTTCTAATTTACTGTAATAGTAATAATAACATCAATAATACCTAAAGTTTATTCAGTTCATACCACATGCAAAGTATTGTTTTAGCATTCATGTATTAATACATGTACTTATCACCAAGACTATAAGGCAAGTACTCATATTATCCCCAGTTTACAGATCAAGAATCTCAGGTACAAAGAAGTAATTTGCCCAAATTCTCAGCTGGTAAGTGGCAGAAGTGGAATTTGAACCCAAAAGGTCTGGCTCTTAATCATTATATAATGCTATGAAAGTATATAATTAGCTAACATCTTTAATTTTCTACTTAAACTTTATATTAATAATTATTGCTGGCAGAATATTTCTTGAATATACTGAAAATGAATAAAATTCTGATTGAAGCAATTGTAAATGATGGTAAACAAAACCAACTACCTTTAAAAAATTAAATATTTTATTTTGATTTATTTTTTTTAATTTTTATTAGAGTATGGTTGATTTACAATGTTGTATTAGTTTCAGGTGTACAACAAAGTGAATCAGTAATACATATACATATATCCACTCTTTTTTAGATTATTTTCCCATATAGGCCATTACAGAGTATTGAGTAGAGTTCTCTGTTCTATACGGTAGGTCCTTATTAGTTATCTATTTTATATATAGTAGTGTGTATATGTCAATCCAGTCTACCAATTTATCCCTCCCCTCCCTTACCCCCTGGTAACTATAAGTTTGTTTTCTACATCTGTAATTCTGTTGCTGTTTTGTACATAAGTTCATTAGTACCCCCCAAAATATTAAATATTTTAAACTGATAGTGAGCTTTTTGATAATGAAAACAGAGTCTAAAACAAAATTATGAGTCCTGATCACAGAATATTTTATAACTTTATACCATTTAATTAATTTTTTAACCATTATTGAAATTGCCACAAGAATGTTAACCTACTGTTTCATTATATATCATTTCCTAAAGTGCTGTATTTTAATAACTACAGTAAAAAAAAAAAACTCTCAATTTTTTAAAATGGCATAGAAATTAAAAGTTTAGTGAACCATTTTATGTAACTACTGTTAATTATACTTTCAACTTGAGACATTCTCTTTCTTGTGCTTAACGTAATGCAAAAAAAATTCCAAGTGAAAATTATCTGCATAAATCAAGTTTCCAGAAGCTGTTTTCTAAAATATTCACTTAAGTGGAGAAAATTCTAATTTTTTATTCCATGCCTTCACTTCATCCTCTTATTTATTCTTCTGGCTTCATTTTTCCTATCTGGAGAATAAAATTTTTACCCATTTCATCAGGATTGATGTACCCTAGTTAATATGTGTTATCTGTTTCCAATATATGCTGCATATAGAAGTCATTTTCCCACTATACTATGGTTAGCACTAGTCAGAACTCATCCAATTGAGAGTTCTACAGCTGCTCATCTAGAAATTGAGGTCTATGAAGAAAATGCAAAGGAATGGATATTTATCTTTTAAAGTATTTATGAAGCATTGTCAGAATGCATAGAACTGTATGGTAATTTTAGGATACAAATTAAGAAAAACAGCAATGGTTTCTGAACTTCAGAAGTTAAAATCTAGTATAAACAGCAAAACACATATGTAAACACACACGTAGATACACCTTAATTAAAAGAAAACTTCTGGAGACACAGCCTTGAAGGAGAGGCTAAGGGAAATGTTAACAGTTGCTTACAAGCATGTGAAGGATGTGATGCTGATGCATTCATGCAAAATTCAACAAATCTTCAGTGAGAGCCAATTCTGTGCTAAGCTCAATTCAGAGACAAACCCTGCCCTTTTGGAGCACTTTATCTGGCAGCTAACTCTTCTTGTTCAGCAAAGGAAGATCAAAGGGAAATAATTTATTACCCAGCAGAATCCAAATAGGTTAAGTTTATATCAATACAATGAAGAATACTAAAGAAATTCACTGACTCAACCAATTTGCAATACCTTCAAAATTGAGTAAATATATCTATTTAAAAACATACGGAATAGTTGATTTCTAAAGATCTTACCACTGTAAAATGTGAAGTCAGTTTTTTCCTTCTAGTCCCTTTCTCCTGCTATTTCCCTCTTTATTCAATATTTTCTCTTAGAAAGGAGAGTACTGATGCATAGGCTTAGAGTATCTTTCATGCTCAGTTTTAATTAGGGAATAAAATCTGTCATGTTTGCTGGCTTTTTCGTTTATAGACCAACTGTCTACAAAATATAACTATAGAATGATAGAGGTATTGTTGATTATGCTATGTGGACACTTTCCCTTCAGGTTCAGTCATGACAATATATTCATATTGTCCCATCTCTAAACCCTTTTCCTCTATCCCCTGCCTGCCCATTGCCCACCATATTTTTGTTACACTCTGACACTCAATAGGTGATAAACATTGTTAATCTTATCCCTCTGCACATTGGGGTTAAGGACATCAAAAAATCTTTAGATTTTTAACAACCCAATTAAAAAATGGGCAAAATGTCTGAACAGATGCCAAAGTAGATACACAGTTGGCAAATAAGCATATGAACAGATGTTCAATCTTTAAAGATTCTACTTTTAACCAGGATGAGGACAGACTTGAAAATGGCAAGGTTCCTGACACAGTAATATTGTATATTGTTTGGTGTATTTTAAAAATCATTTTACTAGGAAATCAACAGACCTAAAAATATATTTCTTGGAAGAGCATTAAGTAGTACTGGCAGAATTAATACGCTATCAATCCTGACTTTCTGGTCTGTTTTGCCTCGTGTGCTGTACCCTTTTTTATTCAAGAAAATCCAAGAATGAAGAAACTAAAGTTATCATTCTTTCATTTAAGTGCAGAGTAGGAAGTAGTGTTCCTACAGATTTTAAAGTGTTTTAACTTTCCTGTTTTTCAAAAAAAGTTTTTATTGAGCTTCCCTGGTGGCGCAGTGGTTGAGAGTCTGCCTGCTAATGCGGGGGATACGGGTTCGAGCCCTGGTCTGGGAAGCTCCCACATGCCATGGAGCAACTAGGCCCATGAGCCACAACTACTAAGCCTGCACGTCTGGAGCCTGTGCTCCGCAACAAGAGAGGCCATGATGGTGAGAGGCCCGCGCAGTGCGATGAGGAGTGGCCCCCACTTGCCACAACTAGAGAAAGCCCTCGCACAGAAACAAAGACCCAACACAGCAAAATAAATAAATTAATAAACTCCTACCCCCAACATCTTCTTTAAAAAAAAAAAAAAGTTTTTATTAAGAATTTATTTTTTAGAGAAGTTTTAGGTTCACAGCAAAATTGAGGGGAAGGTACAGAGATTTCCCAACTACCCCCAGCTCCCACACATGCATAGCCTCCCCGGTTATCACGTCCCCCACCAGAGTGGTACAGTTGTTATAATTAATGAACCTGCATTGACCATCATTATCAACCACAGCCCATAGTTTACTTTATGGTTTACTCTTGGTGTTTGGACATGTATCATCATTTTTGTATCATACAGAGTATTTTTACTGCCCTAAGAGTCCTCTGCTCTCGACCTGTTCATTTCTCTCCCTTACCCGCAACTCTTGGAGACCACTGATCTTTTCACTGTCTCCATGGTTTTGCTTTTTCCAGAATGTTATATAGTTGGAATCATAGAGTATGTAGCCTTTTCAGGTTGGCTTCTTTCACTTAGTAATATGCATTTAAGGTTCCTCCATGTCTTTTCATGAGTTAGCAGAAAAAAAATTCTTAGTGTTTGATCATGTAAAAATCCACCAATCCCAGCTCCTTCAATATTTCTTTTCCCTGAACCTTTTAAGATTTATATTTAAAAGTTTTGAGGGGCCATATATTAATATAGATGTTCTAACATGATAACTAAGAATTATTTTAAAGTTGAAAATAAGTGGAAACAGTGGCTTAATGGTTATTAGGCCACTCAGAACATTTAATTTTGTCCTCGACCAAATATACTTTCTTGGGCACATTAAAACTAAGAATTGGTAACAAAAAAGAAAAACATTTTGATGTTAAATGACTTTTATGATTTTCTGTCAAGCTGGGATTGTTAGATGGAAAATCTTCACCATTATATATTTATATTACATTCAAGGCTATAGATTCCATTCATTTTTATCATAGAAGTACATCCAAATACATACATACATGTACACAAAAAATACATCTCATATTTCCAAAATAAAGAACTCTTAAAACTCAACAATAAACAAATAAGCAACCCAGTTAAAAAGTGGGCAAAAGGTCTGAACAGATGTCTCATCAAAGAAAATACACAGATGGCAAATAAGCATATGAAAATATGCTCAACATTATATGTCATTAGGGACTTACAGAATAAAACAACGAGATACCACTACACAACTATTAGAATGATTGAAATTTTTTAAGATACCATTTGCAGACAAAGATGCAGAGCAACTGGAACTGCCATTCATTGCTAGTGGGGATGTAAAGTGGTACAGCCACTTTGGAAAACAGTTTGGTTTCTTACTGAATGCTAAATATACTCTTATCATACAATCCATCAATCCTGCCATAAGTGTTTATCCAATTGAGCTTAAAATTTAAGACCACACCAAAACCTGAACATGAATATTTATAACAGAGTTTTATTCTAAACCATCAAAAGTGGAAGCAACCAAAATGCCCTTTAGCATATGAATGGATAAGCTACGGTACATATGTACTTTGGAATATTTTTCAGCAATAAAAGGAAATAAGCTATCAAGAC